AGCGTTCTTCGTTAGACCTCAATTGTTCCTGTCCTTTCCTTCTTTTCTTTGGGTCTTGTTTGTGTTGCATTATTTCGAGGCCCTTCTTGCCTGATAGACTGCCAAAATATTCTTGTCATTGACGGGCCTGCTTCTTTCATCATTTATGTAGTATGTAATTATGTAGTATGTATCCCACAATTCCTCGGGCTTCATGCTAAAACACAAGGCTTAGGGTCTCGATTCCGTCTTGATGCGTGAAAAAAACTGTTCCACGTCCTATCGATCGATCTGGTCTCCGAACAAGAATTCCTCTTGTCTCCTCCCGACAGTTTCACAGGTCTCGTCACCCAACAGGACCACATATCTATTCACTTACAGTAGACTGAGATGACACCTTCAGGTATTGGAACTGGATGCCATACTGCACTACACGTTGACCCCTTCTGACGTGCATGTGATGTGTGTGTTGGGTGCAGGCACACCCCCTGACAAATACATGTTATGTATAAAGTTACACAAGAAAACACACCCTCAAACTGGCCGGCTCGTTCCCACCTTCACGGTTCTCCACTTCTTTTTCTGGATTGGCAAACGAGCATCAGGGGCTGCCTCCTGGCATCGGCGCAGGTGCCGACCGGTGGGGCAGCCATCGGTGTCCTTCCGCTTCCGACGTCGTTCCAATGCAACTTTGGCATCTCTGGATTCGCGGCCTGCGCCTCGGGTGATGAATCTCAAAGGATGAACTTCATGCAACACTTCAAGCCCATAACCGACCATCACTATGCAAAGAAAAAAACATATCTTATACTTTGTAAGGATTCCCTTGGACTTGCCCAGTAAACTGAATGGCTACCTGGAACCTCAGTGCTAAATTGAGGCCCAAAACATCCCAAAACCATAACTACAGTATGTGGAGCAAACCCGCAACATCTGCTACAATCTGCAAACTGTGCATGCCCACGCAGCGGGATTCTGTGTTCGTTTGTCCCAGAATCCAAAGGCTCAAGTCATTCCAATTAAACCATCAGCCACCCTCCTTTCCATCATCTCATCCCACCTTCACAGGCGGAAATGGCCTGGGATTTTGTGGCACAGGCGTGCGTGGAGGTCCTGAACATACTCGCTAAGTACAGTAGTGCTTTGGCAGGTCTATGTCCTGTGACCTTCCAAGAGGGATAACTGGTGACCAAAAGCCAAAGTATCACTCAAGTTTCGGGAAGATGAGAAGGGAAAAGAACGCATGTATACCCACCTGACCATCTCCAGGTCATGCTCAGTATGCTTACTTCGTCGAATGAAATACAGGTTGAATGCTTCAGAAGGGAATTCCTTGTTGCTTACGTAGCTAAGCATACAAACTGAGCCTGCTGGAGGAGGATGCATCCCTCCCTTGTCCTACCCCCAACCTTCCAAGTTCGTCTCAAGATTCTCTATTATCACCAAATCAACACCAAACTAGAGTAACCCATAAACCCCCCACATGGATTTCGGAGGCCATCTCAACCATCAATCTCAACCGCACCCTCTGTCTACCTGGTCCTCAAAACCGTCACACCCTCCCCCAATCGCCCAGTCACCGTTGGCGGAGGGTGGTAGCGTCCACCCTGGGAGCCTCCAGCCCAACAGGGGTGGAGCCGAGCTTGTGCCAACCGAAGATGCTCCGCTCCTCTCTTCAAAACAGTTGAAACTGTAGGCGGATAAAAATCGACAAAAAAGATAGGAGAAACTCCAGTTTTGCACCTCATGGCTGTTCTGTGATGCTCTTACGAATGCTAGCATCATGTCTATGGTCAACTCCCGCGATTGAAGGCCGGAGCTCATTATTTTGATGGTTCACTGCCCTTGCTGGCGAATTCGGGGCTCTGCCACTGGCTAAGCTTTTTGCAGCGACCGCCGTTCGGCGCCTTTCTTCGGTGAAAACCGAAGTGTCGTGTTGGAAATGCATGTTTGAATACACATAGAAGACTGGACTGGACAGCACGATCCACTTAAACTGTGCATGAATTCCAATCTCTTCAGCAGCCTGCAAACAAAATATGAATTAAACATATCATCTGGCTTCTATCTTTCTTCCCCAGCAACCCCAACAGAACCCTTTGACTTGTCAGTTTTCCACATATGCCTCGCTCTCCACAAGCAACCAGCCGCCTTCAAAGTCGTCCAGGAGCACAAGTGCCCAACGCCAGGCACGTCCCTTGCGGCAGCTGCTCAAAGCCTTTCGAAGGCCTCGACATGACAGGGACAAAAATGGCAGAGCTTTCATGTCTAAATTTGTAATTATAAGTGTGTCGAAATGCCTTTCACAGGCCGACAGCTGGTGCCTTCTGCAGATTGCGACACTTCCACAACAACTCATACACTTCAATCCAGAGGGGCGGAAAAGCGACTGCCGAAACTCAGAAGAAAGGATCCTCAACTGACTTGAAATGTGTGCACACTTAGAAAGTCCATGTTCAGTAGATTGTTCCGTGTGTTGTCAAACCAAAGTGAAGCTAACTGCAAATGACCCCACCAAAAAAAACGAGCAGAATCAAACATGAACAGAACATAACAGAACCATCTGCAGAGTTTGGACAAAACGCCTGCGCCGACCTGTGCGGGGTCACCCCTCTTCTCAGACGCCCTGCGCGGCACGTCCGGCAAGAGCTCCCCCAGGACTTTTCATATGGATTCTCAATCACGGCCGCTCACCCTCCGCACGCCGAAAAACCCAGAAGTCTCGGCCTCAACGCTCGCACGACTCCACCGCCACCCGTGCTCGGCTCCGCCTCCAGCGTTCAGCGCTCAGCACGCCGAGCAGCGCTCGGAGGTCCACAGCCAACTGCGAGGAACGAGCGAAAGCGCACACGGCGGGGTGGGAGCGAAAGCCAGCCCCGGTGTCAACACGGTGGACCTGGATGGCCCCAAAAAATGAGACCACCTGCAGACTACACAATCACCCTTGAGGAAAAGCACAAATAAGGGTAACTGGCTTTTGTATTTTTGCTGTCCTCATGGAGGTCATCTAATTACTTTTGATCGAGTGTAAAACAGTAGACGCACACCAAAAGGCACGGCCTGCGACGTTCCCGGGAAAGCTAAGTCGGGAAGCTGTGCCACCCTTCTGACCAAGCGAACAATGGATGACCAGCACAACTTCACAACTGTTTGTCTACCATGCACAACAACTTGGTGGTGCTTAACAAGTGTGTCCCATTTTTGATGTGCTTTGACCATCGGGGGTGCCAGGGAACACGTGAATCACGGAGAAAAAGAACGGAATATGGGCGTTCTGAGGCTAATGTGTTTACGTGTTACCATGAGTTACCTGTTGTTCTGCTCTTTCAGAGTATGCCTTGCCTATCCTAGCCTGGACTTCCATGTCAAAGCTCCCTCATCAACAACGAAAGCACCCTGGAGCCGCCCAGCAAGGCCCAGCCTGTTTCTCTGGCATCTCCAGGAACATTTGCACTGCCCGTCGCCACCTCAATGCTGCAGTGGGGCGCAGAGCCCACAGGGAGGCAGTGGCTATGGTCGTTCTTTGGAACTTGATGCCTTGAGATGGCTAATGGGACCCATTCGGGCACCATAACGGCGCTTCCAAGCGAAGTTTGGCGGATCAAATTGAAACATATGCTTGGATGTGCGAAAAACAGTCTATTGTACCAAAGCTCTGGTATTATATTATGACCGTATTCATATCTTTAGTGATGCATAGTAGTATGGAGTATTACTGCGATTCAACAAAGTTGAGTTGCCATTCATCAGGATATTTGCTTAAGTTTCATCCCGTTCGTAGTCTCAATCCCCAACAAATTCCCACCTCAAACACGCACACTCGTCCACACTCGGAATGTTGGCACGGGTTTCTTCTTAGAAATCCTGCTAGAACTCAAACATGTTTGCTGAATAACCGAATGTCGTTGGGTCATCTACACTGCTCCACCAAAGGTGTCCCATGTCGGATCGCTTCTTCGGGATCCGGTCGCTCGCGCCACCGAGTGCACCCAGTGGCCATCCCAGGGATCGGTGCTGGACAGGTCAGGAAACGTCTTTTGTAGTGCACCTTCTATTAATCGATGTTTGTGGATGTTTTTGGTTTGTTGCGGTACTTCTGCTGGATTCTTCATGCACACATGCGTGCACTCGCATGATACTGTAGATTTATTGGATGCTGCCTGCATTTTGTGGATGGCCAGGTGAACCGCCACGCCATCAATGCCTGCGACAGCGCTAAGAAGGAGCTGGAGAAAGCGTGTGTGAGCCTCTGAAACTGAAAAAACAAAAGAAGTAGGGGGCTCGACCGATGCGAAGCAAAACCAACTTTTGATAATAGAAGTGACTGCACATAGATATATACATGTTTGAACCGACTAAATCTCATCTTGAAATTATCATCTAGTCACTGCAGCAAGCAAACAGGCGTGTGATCACGCATAGTTACACTGTGGGGGCAACCCAATCGTGGTTGCATGGGTTCAGAGTATATAAGGGGGCCTGACCCAATGTTCACTTCCCTTGGCCCTTGACCCGGCGGCAACTGATGTCGGGTTTCGAGGTGCTCATAGCCGTGCTTCTGCACGTCGTAGGCGTGAACGACATGGCGCCATGGGCGGAAGCGTTTCTGCGTCGAATCACATTGGGTTTCACGTGATACATGGGTTTTGGATGCGTCTTGAAATACAGGGGCGAGAGCCCACGAACAAATGGGATCCTTTCGGATTCTTGCAACATGACCGAAAGAGGGTCTTGGATTCTGTAGAAAACAGTGCGGCATCACAGGAGCAAGTCTTAACATCTCAACAACTTGCAAGCCTCTGTAGCTCGTGGAAAGCAATGCCCAGCAAAACTGCACACTTCAATTCTGTTTTGGTCTCCAAAGAATGCAATCAAACGCTGGATCGCATTCATAGCATCCTTTCCCGCAACGCCCCTGAATGATCTGCAAAGTGCCTGTTTGGACTAACAACTCGCTTCGACGCCTGATCAGAAATTATTCCTCGATCAAGCTTACCCGACCAGTCCACAACAGTCTTTATGCAGCAAAAGTTCAACAAATGTCCAAACAGTCTTTCCCAACTGTTCTCAAATTTGCCAAGTTCCCCTAGCCTGGCTGGAACTACTCAAAAAGTGACTAGCTAAATATTGAACCTGAGCAGAACCAGCCATGCTCAAAGTGAAGTGCAAGCACACAACCGTGCACGGCGCTGCACGAATTCAAGGGCGCCGAAGCCTGCCGTCTAACTTGATGCAGCAATGGCTCAATGGACCTTCGGCTCAAAGCTGGACAGAACGGTCTGACCAAGTGCGAAAACCACACGCTAAACAGCAACACCAGTCCTGTCTCAGTTGGACTATAGAGGTCCAACGGTCCGGTGAGCTGGCAGCCTTGCGGAGTCTTCATCTGGTGCACAGCTGAAGCAGATCGCTCTGCTCAGTGCCTCAAAACAGTCACCAGTATCCACAAGCACGCCACTTGACTATCTCATTTCTTTCCCCGGATAGCGAAGCTATAGGGGTTCTTACTTCTCAATGGATGGGTTCCTGGTTGCGGAAATTGGCTGCCGCTGCCGCTGCCACCTTGTTTCCCAAGCTTGTCTCCCTTCATGATTTCGCTTTGGGCTGCCGCTGCCGCCTTGTCTGTGAAGCTTGTCTCCCTTCATGATTTCGCTCTTGGCTGCCTCTGCCTTGTCTCCCAAGCTTGTCTCCCTTCATGATTTTGCTTTTGGCTGCCGCTGCCGCCTTGTCTCCCAAGCTTGTCTCCCTTC